GGCTTTTAGGTCTTACAGATATATGCACTGTACAGTTTACACTCCCCTCTACCGCTCCGTTCCCTCCAGAGAGAAAATTTCCCTCCCAATTCGCAATTTCTGAGATCTGTTTTTCTTCTTCGCTCACTCTTCCCTTTCTTCTAATCTCACCCTCTAACAACTCTTTGCCTTCTCCTTCATCTTCCCTTTCATTTCTTCTTCTTCTTCTTCTTTACCTTTTCTTTTCTCTTTCCGTTTCTTCCAAGGACTCTGCAAATCTGCTCCTTGTTTTTCTCTATTTAATCCGTTCTTTGTTTCTGTATCTCGAATTTCACTTCTGTAGTGTTTTTTTTTTTTCATCTTCTCCGGTGAGATTCTGTTTCTTCCTCTTATCTTTCGCTGCCAAATCTTAAGTTTCCAGTTACCGTAACCAACGGAGTTTTATTGCCCCCACTGTTTCCATTTTCTTCAGAAGAGCTCGGTTTATGCTACTCGGTTTGTGTTCTTCAGTATAAGTTGCATCATGAAAATCCTTTTCGACTCATTATCAGGTAATTTCTTCTTCCTCCTCAAAATCTTGGTACCAGTGATTTCTTTATCAATTTCTTTCCTATGGAGTTCTTCTAGGTTTTAGAAGCTTGAGAATTCTTATTTTGATTTTTTTTTTCTTTTTGGTTTTTCATATAATTGAGAGAATTGAATGTTTAACTCCCTGTAACTTTGCTTCGATAAGCTTAAATGTTTGTTTTGTGCAGCAGGTCTACTTTCTTGGGATAAATTCAATGAAACTCATTAGGGAATTGTAAGTTCTTGGTCTGAGTTTAGAAGCATTTAGTTTTACCAGATCTTGCCTTTGGAGTTGGACTGACTTCCTTTTTTGTTGTGCACGAAATTATCGTTTAATAACCAACCAGGTTAACTATTCAAGGCCATGCCAGCTACAAAGAAGGTTTTAAGTTTACTTGCTTTCTGTGGGTCATATCTAAATTTCAACTTGTTAAAATACTGTTATATCAATTTTATCTGATTTTGGATTGTTATTTTGTAATTTCCGTTTTTATGTTATTATAATTTTATTCATACGGCAGTTTTCCCTCTTTCTCAGAGTTCTGATTGCAGTCGGATTGCCCAAGCATTCAACAAATTGTCAATGCAAATAGGAAACCCAGTTGACTTTGAACTACCTGATTGGTTTGATAAATGGAAGACTACAACTTACACCTATATAAAGCGCAGTATCCACTTTTAATGAGTTTTAAATATTTTCCTTATCTGCAATTCAAGTTTGAATATCATTGCCGGAATCATAGCAAGGGTTGTGGGCATGGCCTATTGGAATTATTTGTGCCCAAATGGCATTGATGGGATTTGAACCTGTGTTTTCAACATGATTGTGTTTTACCAGATTTGATTTGCCTGGTTATATATGCATATATTTTGAAGTGTTTGAATATCCATCCATCAGTTTTTATTTATTCATCTATTATGGTTTTGGTTTTGTCTGTATTAACAACATTAAGACATATATCTTACAAAGAAGATTAAAAGGTGCCTGGAGGACGATGGCATTTTTTGTTCCTGCACCCCGTCACCTGGTTTGACAGCTGTGTGTGGTGGTAGAGATTGCCATTGTGGGTAAGAGTTCTCTTAACTGTTCACTATTGTTTTAATTATATATGATTACTGATTAATTTGGGAATGCAAACTAGTTGTAGTTGTTTTCATCCAGGCACATAGTACTTTGATTATTAGAAACTTATTGACTGAATTTGGTTCTGAGGCTTAGTTGATCTTTTTGCTTTGGACTCCTTTAAATGATTTGATTGATCTCTCCGCAGGATGCTACTATCAAGCTGCTCCTCAGATTGCAAATGTGGGAGTTCATGCCTCAACAAGCCATTCCAAAACCGTCCTGTGAAGAAGATGAAATTGGTACAGGTACAAGGTTCTCCTTTGTTTCTGGAGATTTTTAATTATGATTTGTATTTTACTTTGTTTTATTCCAGGGAGTGGGTTCTTTTACTTTATAGCAAGTAATGATTGATTTCATTTGAAGAAGGATTGAGAGATACCTTCTAAATAATAAGCTTTTGACCATGCAAAGTTCTTGAATGTGAAAGCACTTTTTGATAAGAGAAATTAACTGAAAACAAGTTTTTCATTCCTTAAATGTTATTTTGCTTTCCATTTTCCCCCTCATTCTGAACCTGAAGATCTTGATGTTTTGCAATTTCCTGGTCCTCCTCCACTTTTGTCAGTCCCATTATCCATTTCTTGTTTTCAAGTTCTAAGGCTTTGCATTATGTAAGCCTTCTGTAGCTTTCCGTGATTGTTAATTGTATGCACACTCAGAATGCGAAGTTAAAAAAGGTAGTGCCTGTAGACAGAGAAATGCGGAGCAGGAATTGTGGCAGATGAAAATATCAAGCGAGGAGAGTTTGTAATAGAATATGTGGGGGAAGGTCAGTTCCCATCCAAGAAATCGTTAACCTTGTTTTGGAATTAATCTTTTTCCAAGTACTTATTTTCCCTTATTTTTTTTCCTCCTTTTATTGCAGTTATTGATGATAAAACATGTGAGGAAAGGCTTTGGAACATGAAACACCGGGGAGAAACCAACTTTTACTTGTGTGAAATCAACCGCGATATGGTAATTGATGCAACGTACAAAGGGAATAAATCAAGATATATAAACCATAGTTGCTGCCCAAATACTGAGATGCAGAAATGGTTATCCCATAACCCTTTTAGCTGATCTTATATTGATATTGGAATAGAATTATATGTTGATTTCACACATCTTTATCTGTTCTTATCTTTCTTTAGGATAATTGATGGAGAAACAAGAATAGGCATCTTTGCGACTCGAGACATAAAAAAGGGCGAGCATCTCACCTATGACTATCAGTATGTGCACGTGCATTGCTCTCTAACTTAAATAGCTCATTCTCATTAGAGCAGCAGCATGCATTATGCTTACATTGAATCTTCTGCATAAGGGACTTTGCATGGTGGTCCCACATTTTAAGCAATTTGTATTTGCTTTCAAGTTTTGAATATTCTTATTTCAATCTAACATATTTAGCAGGTTTGTTCAGTTTGGTGCAGACCAGGATTGCCACTGTGGTGCAGTTGGCTGCCGAGGAAAGCTGGGGGCCAAACCTGGTAAGCCAAAGATATCATCAGATGCACTGAAGCTAGAAACATGCCAGGTAGGGCATCATCTCCCAAATTGAAAGCTATTTTATCTGTAAAAGATGTATGTAGTGAGTGGTTGCTTGATGCTATCAATATATGATTTCCTCTCTTGTTTCTTACTGAACAGTTACTTCTATGTTTCCTGGCCTGTTTTGGTTATGGATGTATGTAACAACATAAGAATACCTGATTTAGTTTCTGATCTTTATTTTGGAAGAAAAAGGAGTTTCCTAAATATCGAATGATCTGTAGGAAAAGTAAATTGTGGAAGGGAACTATTGCCCTATCTATGATTAATTATTCAAATATTGCTGATGAAACTAAAAGTTGGAATTTAGAACTATTACTGTGTCCATACACTATCATGTCCAGTGAGTGATTGGCTTCTATTTTGGTGACCATTAGAATTTATAGTTGGGAAAAATAAGATATGGAATTTATAGAAATTTGAAAAGCTTGAACTATTTTTTTTTTTTTTTTTTTTTTTTTAAAAATT